GTTCCACATCATATATTTGAATACGAATAATTTTGGTACCTTTTGATGGTATTTTCATATATGAATATAGTGTATTAGCATCCGCTGATCTTTTACTGCTCTTTTCTTCTGGGTTATTTGGTATAAATCTGAATAAGTCTCCAGAGTCCTGAAATAAAAATTATTATTGAAAGTTATTTACTTATTATTAGTGTATTTTAAAGTATTTGGTATAGAACATTTTATTCATAATATTAAATGACTTAAAATTCCGCTTTCACAGTTTTTAAATGTTCTATTAATGAGACTTTAATATACCTATATACTAGTAAATATATATAAGACTTATAATATTAACTTACTTCCATTTCCCCAAAAAAATCTAAAATGCTGTAGACCGAAGAAAGGTTTTTTGTGAATTAAGTAGGTTTAGTGCACGCACAGTCAAAGATACTTTTATTACACAAATTCACATAGGACCGCTCTTAATGAGGATCTGATTGAGAATAACTTGAATTTTCTTTGTAAATCATCAGTAAGTAAATATAAAACAAAGTTCTTAGACCAAGTTTGTCTGTGTATGAGCTATAATCTCATAATCGAGAAACTAAATGATTTTCATTTGAAGACGTATCTATGGTTCCATTATGCTATTCGTGTGACGCCAGGGCTCAATATTAGTATGGATAAAATGCTTAGTCCTCCAAGTTCAGTTTCCAACATGTTTTAACCTGTAAGATGTAACGTGATGAAATTGAACATTCCTTACCATAAAAGGACACCCGACAGAGCGGCGTCGTCGGGTGCAAATTGATCCTATCGATGTTTACTGAAACTATCATAATAACTCTCTAGCCATGTTTTGTCAAGTTGTACGCACATAGATTATCAAGTCATATTTTAGAATAAATATGGTAGACAGAACTAGGGGAATATGTAAAGTTCATTTTTAAAATAATTTGTGCTATCTCCGCATTTTTAGATTAATCTGCACACATATTGACAGTCAGCTTACATACGAACAATTTGTGTTTAACTGTCTACACACACATTTTAAGTTTTTGAAACTATTTATAGGCTGGTGCCCATCAAGCCGTCATTTTCAAGTCCTACTTTCAAAGGTGACAGAATTCCTCAGCTCCAATTGTTTTTTTTTTTTTTACAAGTAGGTACCTAACCAAGTTGAAGTGTTCATCAGTGTTTTTCGTGAATTAAGTAAAATTTTCGTGAATTTCATCCAACATGTAAGTACTTCTTTTATATCTTAGATTTTATTTCACTGTATCAATTTAACATAGTCATATAAAATTCTTCGGATACAAGAAAATAGAATAGTAATTTTTATTTAATTACTAACTGATGCTTGCGACTTAGTCCTCGGGGGGATTTAGTTTTTAAAATCCCTCGTGAACTCTTTGATTTTCCGGGATAAAAGTAGCCTCTGTCACTCTCCAGATCCTCAACTATACCCATTCAAAAAATCACGTCGATCTGTAGCTCTGTTGCGGCGTGATTGAAGGACAAACCAACAAATCAACAAACACACTTTCGCATTTATAATATTAGAATGATTTAAACAGTTTCGATAAATTCATCCAACCAGACGTTCTTTTTCAACTTTGATGAAATTGTCTGATTTTTCTCTGAGGATTGAATGATACTAGAATTACAATAATTTTTAATTTACATTATTGAATTATAATAACTTGGAGGTACCTTATTTAAAAATATTAAGAACAGCAGTTGGCAGCTTCTGTGTTTTTTTTTTTGTATCTTTTGTGAATGTTAGATCAAAATCAGTTCAGCCTTCCTACATTGCATAAATAATGTTCACCATTTCTATCGAAAATATTCACATTAGTTCTTAACAGATGTCTAGTTTAATGATTAGAGCGTGTAAACAAATCGTCTATTCGCAAAACGAACTCAGAAAGAAGAAGTTATTTAAAGGTTTCAGATTCGAATCCCGAGACATCGTAGAAGATATATTATTTTTTTTTTAGATATTTAAAACTTAGTATTCGATGCAAACTTAAAGTTAATACAGCTTTTTTTATGATACATACAGTTTTTGTTAAAGTTATAATTATTTCTAATTTCAGGTCAAGCAACCATGAAAACATTTTTCTATCAGAAGAGTCTTCCTCTGAAGAGAGGACCGAGCCGAAGGGGAAAGAGAAGAAAGCTGTGAGGAAAAACAAGCGAGGGCATAACTCTCATGGAAACGAGCCTTCAACTAGCGGGGACGCTATAGTACGTGTTCGGTCCAGCGGAAAGAAATCAAGATCAGCCAAAGTCACCGCTCAAGATCTTTTCGGCGTAGACTCCGATGATGGTGAAATCAACGATGTAACATGTAAAAATACATCTCCTTTAGTATCTTATTTAACAAAACGGGTAACAAACGGCTTTTCACGACAAATAAAGTTTGATAAGCCTGGCAGTCATTTTGTCGAAATAAAAATATATAAATGCGAAGAAATCGAGCGCGTATCTCCGATGAATAGATGGCGTTATGCAATAGTTGCTCTTAAAAATAGAACAAATGTTGATACCGAGTCCTGGCGACATTTATCAGCATATTTAAGCGAAGTCCGAAAGGAGTTCAAGGAATGTTCGCCAAATTTCATAAATTCACATTTATTGTAAATAATATATATTTAACGTTTTACTTTATTAATATAATGTATTAATATTAATAAAGTACATTTACCTATCCTACTAATCTTGTCATATTATACTCATTTACGTTTTAAAACTTACTATTTTATAATAAATGAATATTTCAAGTTTCGTATTTTCTATATATTCGTATTTTATTTCTTGTTCACAGTTGTCGACACCAGTAATAAAGAAAAAGACAAAGACATTAAGTTTTGTAAATACTGTAATTTATATACATTAAGAAATAAATATAATTACCATTTGAGAAGTAATATACATAAGGCAAATTGCTTGTTGAATACAAAATTTGATAATATAAAAGTCATTGCTTCTGCATTTAAAAATCGAATTATAACATATAGATTACAGCCTGAGAATATAGAAAAGTACTTTACTCCCGAGTCATTTCTTAAAGATAATGAAAAAGATATATTAAAGATCATTGAGCTCTCAATTACTGAACATACATGTGTGAAAGTTAATTTTGAACTCTTTGCTCTATTTTATTTACCAAGTTCTGATCAACAACAACTCAAGTCATTTAATTCAAAATTTCAAATTCTATGTCGAAATACTGATCTGAAAGAAATGTTTTCTTTAGTAATAGACTCTATGAAAATGAAAATGGCTGAATTCGAACATTGCAAGTCTGGTTGGACTTTTGGAACAATTAGTCATTTAGAAATAAACGTGAATAAATACTCGCCTATGAAGGGAAGTAGTTATATAGAACTCCCTGCGACTATTAAAAATACTAAGAGTTGTATTAATATTAAAAATGAAGACGATCACTGTTTTTTATGGAGTATAGTTGCAGCATTATATCCAGCAAAAAATAACGTATGTAGAACTAGATCTTATCCTCATTATAGTAATGTGTTCAAAATAGATGGTATGTCTTTTCCACCTACTACACATGATCTCAAAACTTTTGAAAAGCAAAATTCTAATATAAGTTTCAACATTTATGGTCTCGATAATTGTAACCAAGTAACTGGCCCGCTTTATATATGTAATTCAAGAAAAGTACACCATGTCAATATATTATACATTGAGAAATATAATAAGGGTCACTATTGCTTAATAACAGATTTGTCACGTCTTGTGCGACCACAGATTTCAAAACATAATGGCAAATTACATTTCTGTGATTCATGTCTTCAACATTTCTCGTCGAAAAAGAAATTTATGTCACACCAATGTTCTAAAGTATTAACCATATTGCCGAAAGAAAATAGCATATTACAGTTTAAAAGATATGAGCGAAAAATAAAAATAAATTTTATAATATATGCAGATTTTGAAAGTTTATTGTTGAAATGTAATAAAAATGAACAAACATGTAATACGGTTAATTTACAGTTACACGAGCCATCTTGTTTTGGTTACTATATTTGTTGCTCTCATGATTCTAAGTTAAATAAATATGTATCATATAGAGGTCCGGATTGTGTTAAAATCTTTATAGAACGTTTAATTGAAGATGTTAAAGATATTGATAAGCTATTATCTGTTAATAAACCAATGAATCCACTAACCGATAAACAAAGAAATGCTTATTTAAATGCTACAACTTGTCACATCTGTAATGAACCTTTGCTGGGAGATAAAGTTGCTGACCACGATCATATTACTTCTGAATATCGGGGTCCAGCACATTCTCACTGCAATCTCATGTTAAGAGAATATTCTTTTATACCAGTCGTATTTCATAATTTATGTGGTTATGACAGCCATCTTTTTATCAAAGAATTAGCACACCATGTGGGAGACATAAAAGTTATACCTAAAACAAAAGAAAAGTATTTAACAATAAGTAAAATAATTTATAACGAGCACACTTCTCGCAACGTTCAAATTAAATTTATAGATTCCTTTCAGTTTTTAAGTTCTAGTTTGAATGAATTAAGTAAAAATTTATCTGAAAATGAACACATTCATCTCTCAGAAGAATTCAGAAATCATATTGACTTTAACTTGTTAAAAGAGAAAGGTATATTTCCTTATGATTACGTAGATTCTTGGTGTAAATATGAAGAAAAATCTTTGCCACCAAAAGAATGTTTTTATAATAATTTAACCATGAAACATATAACTTATGACGAATATGCACGAGCACAAAAAGTATGGGATAATTTTAATATAAACACAATTGGTGAATACACAGATTTATATTTAAAAACAGATGTCCTATTATTATGTGACATTTTTGAAAACTTTAGAAATACATGCTTGGAATATTACAAATTAGATCCCGCGCATTATGTATCATCTCCTAGCTTAAGTTGGGATGCTATGTTACTGCATACAGGCGTTCGATTGGATTTAATAAGTGATTTAGAAATATATCAGTTAATAGAAAGAGGTATTCGTGGAGGGTTATCGCAATGTTCTCATCGATATGCTAAAGCTAATAACAAGTATCTACCGAATTGTGATAACTCAGAAATTTCTAAATACCTAATTTATCTTGATGCCAATAATTTATATGGATTTTGCTATGATGAAAAAGCTGCCTATTTCTGAGTTCCGTTTACTATCTGAAGATGAGAAAACGAATTTTAATGTATTAAATATAACAGATGAGTCGGAATATGGCTATATTTTAGAGGTTGACTTAGATTATCCAGACCACCTCCATAATGCTCATAGTGATTTGCCATTTGCACCAGAAAAAATAATACCTCCAGGTGGTAAAACATAT